CCCCCCTCCCCCCCTTCCTCATCTCCCTCACCTGTCCCTCCCTACGGTTCCACAGGCAACTACTGCAACGCCGTCCAGACCGGCAACCTGGTCTTCCTCGCCGGGCACCTTCCCTTCGACAAGGATGGCAAGGTCATCACCGGCAAGGTGCGCGATCGCTCTTTCCTCCCCCTCTGCGATAGGGTAGACCTCGCTGACTCGTGTTCTCTCTTTCTCTCTCTCGCTCTCTCTCTCTCTCTCTCCCCCCCCCCCCCCCCCCCCCCCCGCCCCGGCCGGTATCCCGGGCCTCCTCTGCTTCACAGCTCGGCGCCGGCATGTCCGTCGAGGAGGGGCAGGCTGCTGCTCGCGCTGCCGCTCTCGGCCTGGTGTCCACTCTCAACCAGCATCTGAATGGTGACCTCGAGCGTGTCAGCCGGATTGTCAAGATGTCGGCCCTGATCAACTGCACCCCCGACTTCTCCATGCACCCGGCCGTGGCCAACGGTGCCAGCGACACCATGGTCCAGGTGTTCGGCAGCGCCATCGGGAGCCACGCCCGCTGCGCGGCCGGCTTCATCAGCCTCCCGCTGGAGGCCGCCGTCGAGGTGGAGCTCATTGTTGAGGTCTCCGACGATGTCAATGCCTCGCCGAAGGCCCACATCTAAGCGCAGATGGGTCTTGTGTTGGGGTTTGCCCGTGCCCTTTTGGCCTTTCACCGATGTCGCCCGAACATATGCACCCCCCTCCGATCCACGGCCTCTGCTTCATGTGTGTGTGTGTGTGTGTGACAATTTCCACATGGACGAGTGGGAGGGGAATGTGTATTTTTCCTTGCCAGCCATTGGGAGTTGTATATGTGTGCATGTGCACATGGGTGTGCATACTCTTCTGGGGGAGGGGGGGGGGGAGGGAGTCCAACTTTGGCCGCCAGGGAGGAAAGAAGAGGCGGAAAGCAGGCGAGAAAGAGAGAGAGAGAGAGACAAGCAGAGGAAGGGGCGGAGGGTGCATCTACTCCTCCTCCTCGTCGGACTCCTCCTCAGACTCCTCGTCGGACTCCTCCTCATCGTAAGAGCCCTCATCAGACTCCTCCTCATCGTAGGAGCCCTCGTCGGAGCCGTTGCCCCAGTGCGACGCCTGGGCATGGCCCTGGCCATCGGACTCGTCGTCATACTCCGAGCCGGACTCCCCCTCGCTGGACATGGCGAAGTAGTCCCGATGGTTGGCCCCGGCGGCCGGGGCGCTCAAGTCCAGGAGGTTGTCACCCTCCTCATCGTCGGACTCGTCCTCCTCATCGTCGGAGTCGTAGCCATCAGACTCCTCGGAATCATAGCCATCGGACTCCTCGGAATCATAGCCATCGGACTCCTCGGAATCATAGCCATCGGACTCCTCGGAATCATAGCCATCGGACTCCTCCTCGTCATCCTCCTCGGTGTCATACTCATCTGAAGAGGAGGCCAGGAAGGCGTCGAGAGCCGACTGATCATGGCGGATGGGGGCCTTGCGGGCGGCCGCCTTGACCGCAGGGTGGAGACCAGCCGGGGCAGTGGCCCCGGCGCGCAGGCCCGAGCCGCCACGCGCCCCCACCGGCCCGGAACCCATGCCAGTCAGGTTGTTGACCACTTCCCCGCCCATAGCCGGGCCGGTCGGGACCAGCACATCACGCACCGAGGACGGCGGCGGCGGCGAAGTCGGCCAGTTCGGCAGCGGCAGGTACCCGGTCACGCGGTGGCCAACCAGGCGCGACAGAGACCCGAGAACCAGCCCGGCAGCAGCCACCTCGGCCGAGAGGCTGCCATCGTCATTGAGGGAGACGTCCTGCAGGGCCCGGGCCAGGGCCGCGACGTCTGGCGACTCGCCCGGCAGCGGGCTGGCCCCAGACCCGGCGCGGGTCGCCCCGGGCGCGGCTAGCATGATGCGCGCCAGCACGGCCGCCGGCTGCAGAGCCGTCGGGTCGACCTTCAGATGGAGCGGATGCTCGCCATTGTCGCCGTTGGCCATCGGCGCGTCCACGGGGCAGGCATTCAGCAGGGCCTGCAGGAAGCGCGCCCGGTCGCGCACATCGTACGACACATCATACCGGGCCAGGGTGAGCAGGTGCGCGAAGAGGCCCCGGATGCGAGACGACACCTTGGGCGTGAAGAGCGGCGCCGTGGTGGCCGTGGCATCGCCGTGGCACCGGGCCAGGAGCTTGGCTCCCAGGACCAGGGTCAGCAGGCGCACATGGGCATCGGTGTCCTCGGCCGGGAAGGCGATGACCGCGCAGCGGAAGACATCCGGAGCCACGCGCGGCACATCCTCGGCGAATGTCCCAATCAGCCAGTACAGCGCCGCCCGAGAGACGGGCGACAGCTGGGGCGGAGCCGCGGGGGCCTGATCTTCCGGCGCCGGGCGGTACAGAAGCTTGGCCAGCTGCCGCAAGGACCGGGCCCGGCCCTCGGGCTGGGCCTGGAACAGCCGACGCAGGACGAGGATGGATTCCGTGACAACGGAGGCTGTAGACGGGCGGAGTGAGCACACAGGGGGGGG